AGACAGGTCTCAGCATAAGACCCCACCTAGTCAAGATCGGCAGCCATTCCGACCATAACCCCCCAAATTTTATCGAAAAATGAGTCAACGCAGAATCAAAGAAAATATCGGGATATCCCCGCTTCCATAGCTCACATTTCAATGAAAACAGAAAGGGAACCACCATTCCCTCAACGAAAGAATAAGCTTTAGCCCGATGAAGAAATAAATTGATAACTGCCAGCTTCTACTGTCTATTTGAAAAGAACTTGTAATCCTGTATGCACTGGAATGTCATCCTTCCATTCACTTCCTCCCTCTGATTCTCCATTAAAGTAAAACACATCACACCCTTCTTCCCCTCAAACACCTTGAGAACACACCCAAGAAAGTCCCAACATTGACCATCATTAGTCTGCTCTAGAATAAGGTTATCATCATAACACCGCCGAAATTAATCAATCAGGCGCAACGCCTTAACGTACGAACACTCGTCATTCTTCCTACATCTCACGAAAATGGAAACGTCATCCACCAGCCTGAAACCGTAAACTAACCGCTGATCAACCCCCAAATTGGTCAGAAAAACAAATTCATTAAAGACACAAAGTAAGCACGCAAGCGCAGGGCTCGAGGACTTCTCCATAGGTATCCCGATCTCCTGCCGCAACAACTGCTCTGATGCCCAAACAAAGGTATGTTCAAGCTCAAATTCGACAAAATCAAACACCTTCTTCAGAGATATACTCCTCCACCCAACCTCACACTGGCCGGTAAGCAACCTGGCCCCTTTTCCCCGTTTCCGAATCCCAACAACAAACACGCCCTTTTCTTCCCAAAAGTCAATCACCCAGGATAAAACCCTCAAAATAGACCTATGCGGCAAATTGGAGAACATCTCCTTTATATCAAAGAAGGCACTAAGAATATGATCCTTCTCAGTTAATCCATAGTTGACAGACTTAATTACAATCAACAGACAATCGACACTACGCAGATTAAAATTAGAGTTTTCCGACAGATTCCATAGCAGAGCGTTCACTGCTCGTGAAGCCGCACGACCACCAGCAGTCGAGCCTTCGGATAAGGATGGACAAATGGGCCGCCATCTGGACACATCCTTATGTTTCGGTAGACAATACGACAATCCAAACTTGCCTGTCTTCTTCCACTTACCAACGCCTAGTAATCCCTTCGCATAGTAATCCTTCCTGCATTCTTCCAACACCGCACCAGCCTCATCATTACACAAAAGGAAAGCCGGATTCTCACCGAACAATTTACGCATGCCCTTCTCGTACAACGTAGGGCAACATACGTAGGAGTCACTCGAGTTATGGTCGATTGGGCAACAAACCAGACCACGAAGTAACTCGTGAAAGGTGTCAACATCATCCTCGCAAATAGTGTTCTAAAAAATCTCCCCACTACCCTGATTCCATAGACAACCAAGGAGCAAATCCTGAGGCACCGTTTTAGGAACAGGAAGAGACGAATGAGACTCGAAAGTAGACAAGATTTGGGAGCGCAACAGGGAGACGGAACGAACTCGAGAGGAACGAACCAAGTTTCCAGAATTATGAAACCAAGAGGGAAACACATCAGGCAATTCATTAACCCGGAAGGAGACATGGCCATCGACACATGGAAGCGACTCATCAACAGAAGTACATGAACACAGACTCGGAGTGGAGCTAGTTCTAGCAAATCTTCTAAAATTGTGAAACATATCCCCGATACTTCGATTACGGCACGACACAATGCGCATACGCCGAACCAGCATCCCCTTCCAACCCTGCTGAATATTCAAATCCCCAACAAGGTGCGCACACAGTTTCCGAACATTCGACTTGCAAATCCGATAGTCGTAAACAAGCTTAACAACCAACCTCTGCCTAATGTGTAATCCGTACTTTGACAAAACATGCCGCGACAAGATACGTCCTAAACGAAAACGTGTCCTATTCTCGCTACAGGTATGTATAGCCGCGTATGCAGCAATCACCGACCCCAAATCCCAAGTCCTCAACTCCACACGTTTGTAGGGGTTACTGAGAAAACTAACTAACGGACCCTTGAGAGATAAAGAACGACTGAGAAAAGGAATGATAGGATCAATAGTCAACACGACACCCCTTTTCAACCAATCACGGGAATACCAAAGCTCCTGCTTACCGAACGCATATTCGACTAAGCTACCCCCATAAAGCCGTTTCAAAACCTTCCATCGATTGACCAATCTCTCACCACCCACGCAAGAAATCACAACTCGATGCACACCCCTTTCCTTGCACCCCTCAAGAATCTTAAACAAACTAACCGCCAGCGAGCCATCGGCAGCGCAGAAGGAACAAAAGGAACCACGAGACACAACGACATCGGAACTGACGACATCACCACCCCCATCCTTCCGCTTCTTCCTCAGTCTCTCCCTCAAACTGGTGCGGCGTCTACGGAATCGCTTGGGTTTGTCACACACATTGAGGGCCGGAGAAAACAAGCGAATAAAAAATTTCTCCATCTCCAATAGATCTTCTGCGGAACAACGACAAAGAGGCAGAATAGCATAAGTGTGAGCACCACGCCTCCGAATCCATCGATACAATTTCTCGTTCCTCCTCCCACCCTCAATCACCTTCAATTGGCACGCTCTGTACACGTGCTCCCTCCAACGAGTATGAAGATCACGCAGTGTACTACTGACATAGATATGTGAGACCACGGAGAAAATAGAGCATAAACAATAGGACCATCCCACTCATTGACCACAACCAAAGACCTACCGGATGTAAAAAATCCGCTCAACTTCTCACCCCACGGAATTGCACTAAGCAGAATCAGACCACAAATCGCAGTACTAAACAGTAGATTGATTTCTTTGCATCGTAGCCAGTCAACCGAAACAGCACGAAGATGACAACAAAAACGAACTACTTGCCATAAGACGGTCGCATCCGGGCGTGATCCTAAGAAGCAGCGAAATCACGCCCGTCGCTCGGTTCAGAGTTCTCACCCCCGTCGTCAATAACTTCAACTATGGAGTCCTCCTTACCTTTCCCCTTACCATCATCAAGGTCGGCTTCGACGGCCCTATCGGCACACCCTTGGGCAATCACCTCCTTAGTAGGATCCAAAGTGGTGTATTCAACACCCTCCTTGTAACAAATCTCAGTAATTTCCTCCTTACGCTTGTTACGAAGATCCTTTTGAGCAGCTCGTAGGAATACATCCCTCTGCATGCCGCGATCTACCACGTCCACAGTGGTTTTGCCCTTATCGTTTTTAGCAGAAGGTCCAACCACCTCGTCCATCTTTTTCCTGAGGTTCGTTCCCTTAGACCGCAGCCCAGTATTCAGTCATCCAATCTCAACCTTAAGCCGCTCAACTTCATCCTCCGACTCCTTTCTAGCTTTAACTTCCCGAGCACGCATCTCCTTCAAAAGCTCCACCTCACGTTGATGTCCCTCAACCATGTCTTTCAACTGAGGGTTAACCCTACCACCAGGACACGGTGACGCCGCGGGGGTCATCCTGGCACGTACACGAGCTTCACTGACCGGAGTGTGACCAATAACCACGCTGCCACGCTTATTGCCAGGGCGAAGAGCCTCATTCCTCCAAACATCAGCATTCGCCTCAGCAGCTTCGCATTGTTTTTGCAAAGCGAAGATCACTTCTTCCAACGTGGCCAAACGTTTATCCGTGGCCGCCTTAACCTCTGCATGTTCTTTCCGGAGTCGAGCAACCTCCTCCGTATCACTGGCGGGTTGGAAAACAGCTTCCGACGTACTCGCAACGTCCTTGCCACGTTTCAACTGTTCAACTTGCGCCCGTAACCTAGACACTTCGTCGCTACCTCCCTCCTTCGACTCCTGCACACCACCCATGTTGTAGCAACGACGAGTAAGCGCTTCAACCTGAGCCCGTAGCTTCACTACTTCATCGTCCCCTCCTGCCTTCTTAGTGTTGACAGCCTCGCAGACCTTATCCAACTTGGAGGCCATCTCCTTATGCATTTCCCTCTGAAGATCCTCCCGTTCCTTCTTCTCTTTCATTCTTCGCTCTTCGTCTTCTTTCTCGCGTAGCTTCCTATCTTCCTCCTCTCGTTCCTTCTCAGCTTTAGCCTCATCGGCCTCATGCTTACTGTTAATTCTACCAACAATCTCCTCCAGCGAACTAACCCTCCTACCCAACCCACTGCCACCGCTCCCTCCATTGTAGTGACCCGAGTAATACGGCACGGCAGTCCCCACATTCGTTGCAGGTGGCACACTCAACAGCGGCTACGCAGGTACAATCGCCGTGGAAGGCTGAGCTCCATTCGACCTTCGGTCCGGAAGCGGACAGAATCTGGAAATATGACCTGGTTGACTGCAATTATAACAATTGCGGTTAGCAGGCACATTCGGATTGATATTAGACGCCATAGTTGATGTCGAAGCCACACGCCGGTAGTATCACTTCTACCACGGTTACTTCATGAGAAAAAGGTATGTCAAGCTTAACAGCAAAAGACACAATGAATGGCCGTGAAATCCGCACGTGCACCACCAAACCAGAACAACCACAGAAGAAGAGGGAGGAGAAGGAAGAAGAAAGGAAGAAGAAGGGAAAGCACACCAAACCATAGAATAGACGAGTGTCCCGAACGCGACGTCAATAATGAAGAATAGTCATGAAGCACATAATCGGACAAAGCATCCGACCGGCGTTACGACCCGACTGGTTTCGCCTGGCCGCCAACCAGGACTCATCAGGGGTCTAAGTCACTTAAAGGACACTAGCCTAGAACCTACCTATATACGACCAGACCCTCTGAGAAAACAACGGACCAAGTCCCGTACAGACCAAACATCAAACGTACTCCCGTCGCGATTCACATTTTCCGCCAACCACCGACGGTTCACACTTCGCACGAAAAGAAACGGAGACTAAAAAACTAACAAAAAGCCAAAGAAAATAAAAGAAAAAAACGGTTAGAAAAATGGAAACACAGGTACCCAGTTCAAAACCTAAAACCGTCATCAAGAAAAGACCAAACCAGCCAAAGTGCCACAGACCCAAAAAGCAAATCCTAAGTGTCTCCGCACGAAAACCCCAACATCGTCATCGGACAGACCAAATCAGCCTGAAGTGCCACAAAACCAAAACGCAGATCGTACACGTTACCTCACGAAAACCCTTGCACAATCACCATACACAACAAATCCCTACCGACAGAATGCTTTGAATCAACAACCCAGTCTCAACATACGACCCTACTTAGTCAGATCATAAACGTTACCGCACGAAACCCCTGGCACGAACAGCAAATCCCTACAGACGGGATGCTTCTAATCAACAGACAGGTCTCAGCATACGACCCCACCTAGTCAAGATCGGCAGCCATTCCGACCATAACCCCCCAAATTTTCTCGATATGGGCCAAGTACTGGTGGTTTAATATTGATATGAATCTAATCAAGCATACAAAGCTGCATACTAATCTTTTTGAAGATCTCAAACTACAACCAGCCAAATTTGCTTCCTTGCAATTGCAGATTGTGCATCGCTTTCTGCCAACAAATGATTGGCTGATCGACTGTTCTATGCTGGAATCAAGGGATTTGGCGTCCCCCTGGTGTAAGTCTTGTTTCTCGGCTTTTTTCCTAGTAGGAAATTCAGAGAGACTATTGAGCATATATTTATGCACTGTGCAGGGTCGGTGTTGTTGTGGATGGGGTGGGACTGCATTTGGCGGATCTTGACGGGGATGGACTGGCCCTGGGATTGGAGGGCTATTCTGTTGGGCCATTGGGATCCTCCTGGTCTCCAGTTACCTAACTTCCATGGATGCTTTGTACAAACGCTCTGTTAGGGAGAGAAAGGGGGTAAATTTGGAAGCAGCTGAAATAGTGGATTTAATTGTCAATTTTCAATTTTGTTCATATAGAGTTCCGTGCACAGTGGAAGGGTCTCGCATTTAAATTATACAAATTCCAGCAGAAAAAAGACATACAACATGCAAACCCACCAATTAGTTCGGGACTGGCCGGGGGGCGCTGCACCGGGTGGGCTTGGGTGAGGTGAAATGCCCAGGGGAGGAAGGGTCCGGGATGTCTTTCAAAAGGGACTTCCAACTTATCTTCCAGGACTTGTTCACGCTTCACCCACTGGCAGGCGTCCCTCTCAGCTCTCCACAGTTTTTCTCAAATCCTTTCCCTCCTTCTGAGCTACCGTCTGCACCGCAATGCCCGGTCATTATAGTTGTATCTGGACTGAAAATTGCACCAAATACGGCTATAATGACCGAGTGTTCTATTCGGGTGAAGACGGTAGCTTCAGTAGACATGCAATGGTATGGCTTGCGGGGTAGCGAGTAAATTTTATTTTCTGGTGTATTTGGGGGTAGGGGAGCTAGCTTGCAGGGTCACATACTGTTTTTGTGGACCCGAAACTCAAAATTGAATTCCATGGGGCGCTCGACCCGGTTTCCAGCAGTTGCCACTGCCCAGTGCCCACCAATAGATTGGAGTCACTGGTGGGGCAGTTAGGAGTGTTTGCTTATATCATGAGTCCTAACTGTTTCTGCTATGTGTTATAGCAAGAAAAAAAAAAAAAAAAACAGGAGTAGCACTCACAGGTTGTTGCCGCATTTGAATCAGGAGTGCGCCGGCAAACTGTGAATGCTAGTCCTATAAATCGTTCTAAATGAATTCCGGTCGTGGAAATTAGGGACTCGACCATGTGCATGTGCAGTGGACTCCTTTGGGGGCTTTGTTGGGGTTGCGTTCTTCTTCTTTTTTTCTGTTTTTCTTTTTGGGTTTTTGAGTTTTTGGGTTTTTGGGTTTTGGGGTTTTTGGGTTGTGCTTGCTAAAAAATGATGTTTCCTAGCCTCATCATCTTCTTTCGTGCATTGGAACATTATAATGATAGTTCCTTGCTCCACTACAGAACATTCCAAATGCATCTGGAGCTGGTAATGGTCCCCGTGCATTCAAAATGTTGGACAGCTGGAATGTATCTACATACCTGTCAAATGTTGAATAGTAGAGCGAGGGACGCCTATAGTCACGATTTCCCCACGTTTGTGAACGAAAAGAACATTGCTGCTACTGAACCACCACCACTGTGACAATGCTTTCCAGCCATAACTCCCCATGTGTTTGCCCATGTGATGTCTCTATCCACTGGTACGATGTCTTCTTTTTTTTGTCTTTCAAATTAATCTATATTCAGCTCACAAGATTCTTATCACCCACATCACAATTTGCTTACTCACGGTTTCAACATGGAAGGGATGCTGGACCCCGTCTCCAGCAGGTGTTGCCCCCCAGCAATAGATGGGCCCGGCCTCATGGCATTAGCGGCGCAGCGCCGGTGCCTGCTCTTAATATCAGTACCGCGAGTGTCTGCAGGGCACAAAAAGAAAACGGATAAAAATCTCTCTCTCTCTCTCTCTCTCTCTCTCTCTCTCTCTCTCTCTCTCTCTCTCTCTCTCTCTCTCTCTCTCTCTCTCTCTCTCTCTCTCTCTCTCTCTTC